CTACCCTCTAAGCCCATCTATGCTCTACTCTCTACGTTCTACCAGCTACTCGCAATAAGCTTTACGTACCATCTACCCTCCAAGCCCATCTACGCTCTACTCTCTATGTCCTACCAGCTACTCTCTTCAATCTACGCTCTACGCTCTATGATCTACCCTCTAAGCCCATCTGCTTAGAAGCAGTTATTGGAATCATTTAATTTTTTTTTAAAATTTCTTAATATTTTAATGAAGACCAGTGAGTAGCACAAAGGAAGACTTCTTGTAGTTGTAAGCTTTTTCGTTTATTTCCGATGCACTTTGTCTCTGTCTGAAACTTCTTCAGGGAATGATTTAAGCATGCCTAAGTTTAACTTCCCATGGAAGTGAATAATTGCTGAAACATGCTGTAAACGGACATTACAAGAAATGCCTAATGCACATGTTATTGCATGTTGTTCTATTTTGGGGGCCATAAAATTAGTGCTAACTGTATGGCCCCCAAAATGTAAAAAAAAAAAAAGTTAAAAATAAAACAAAAATTAAAAAAAGATTAAAAGATTAAAACATAAAAAAGACATTTTTTGTTTGGAAGGGCCCCAAAGAAATCCTATTAGAGTTTCTTAGTTGTCTCTATAGCAAGAATGATCGTATCAAACTTACATACTATGTTATTGATGAAAGTAGTATTTAGTTTCTCCATTTATTTCTTTACAAAGATGCTAATTTTAGCATTCTGCAGTTTTCTACCTATCAAAAGCCACCAAATAAGTATCTGTACATTCCCTTTGAGTCATTTCATCCCGCAAGCAACAAGAGGGCCTTCATTAGAGGCGAGCTTATGTGCTATACTAGAAATAGCTCCATGTTTAAAGCCTTTAGTGAAACGCGAGAAATTCTGGAAGTGCCTCCGGCGTCACAGTTACCCACTTGGCTTTTTACTTCCGTTATTCAGGGAGGTTAAATACAGTAACAGAACTAAAGGGCTTCCGCTAAAACGTAAATCGTGCAACAGTAGAATGGCAGTCTTTAAATCTACATTTAACTGTAGTCATGCTAAGTGATGTGAAGGACATTTTGTTATAGTGTACTCAAAAAGTGTGAATACTTAGGTCACATGACTTTAAATGCTTAGTGGATGTTTTGCGACCACATGGAGATCTTGTTTACTAGTTTTTAGGGTTGTAATTTGTCGTACAGATTGCTGTTCATTTCAAGTTCGAATATATGGTTTAACTCAGAACCACTAACACCAAGCTGGTTATCCAGAGACATTTATCAGACTTAGACTGTATTGTCAGTTATAAATCTACTACTACTTATAATCGTATGGCTGCAAAATATAACAACATGTAATAACATGTACATTAAGGCATTTCTTGTAATGTCTGTTTACAGCATGTTTCAGCAGTTATTCACTTCCATGGGAAGTTAAACTTAGGCAGGCTTATGTGCTATATATGCTGTTCAATGTTAGTTGTAATCATTCCCGAAGTCTCAGACAGAGACAAAACGTGTTGGAAATAAACAAAAAAGCTTACAACTACAAGAAGTCTTCCTTTGTGATTTCTCACTAGTCTTCATTAAAAAAATAAAAAAATTTTAAAAAAAATTATAACATTCCAATAACCTTCCAAGCGGATGGGCTTAGAGGGTAGATCGTAGAGCATAGAGCGTAGGTTGAAGGGAGAAGCTGGTAGAACATAGAGAGTCGGAGTGTAGATGGGCTTAAAGGGTAGAAGGTAGATAGTAAGATCGTAGAGCATAGATCAAAGAAAGTAGCTGGTGGAACATGGAGAGTAGAGCGTACATGGGCTTAGAGGGTAGATGGTAGATCATAGAGTGCAGAGCATAGATTGACGAGAGTAGCTGGTGGAACTTAGAACGTACATGGGCTTAGAGGGTAGATGGTAGATCATAGAGCATAGATTGAAGAGAGTAGCTAGTAGAACGTAGAGAGTAGAACGTAGATGGTAGAACATATAGTATAGAACATAGAACGTAGAGGGTAAACGCAATACAGAATAGTACATTAAAAAGATTATTAAAATACTGTAAACCGTAATAACACTTTAATAACACTTTAATATATATGAGATAATAAAGAAAGCCAATAAATTACAATTACAAAAATTACAGCATCGCAGATGATCAAGAAACTCGCACTCGCAACCCAATATTTTTTATCACTCTACTGGTTTTTTAAGCCTTTAAGCTGGTGTAGAGAGTAGTCAAAAATTCTTGAACTGATAAACTTGTAAATACATAGAGCGTAGAGCGTAGATGGGTGGAACATGGAGTGTAAGACCTATAAGCACATAGCGTGTTGACCATAGATGGAAGAACATATAGCATAGAATGTAGTTAGGGTAAACTCAATACAGAATTGTAAATTGAAAACAATTATTTAAACACTGCAATCTGTCATAACACTCAACATTCCCTAAGCAATATAAGATTTGCTACAATAACTATATGCCACTACACCTCCAAGGTGTCACATATCTGAGAGAAATGGAGCTTAAACATTCAAAATACTACCGTAGAGTCGTAGAGCTCTATGAAAATTTCTACACCTAATCGAGCTTCATAAAACGGGCTTGGTAGAACTAACTTAGAACAAATGCCTCTTAAAAGATGTCAACAACTAGTGGCACCTTACAATAACTTATTCACAACATAAACGAAACCGACAAACAGACCTCCAACAGACCAACTTTAGTTGACTAACAATAGATGGACCTCAAACAGCCCGACTTAATTTGACTAACAATAGACATACTGAAATTTACTAGAACCAACCAATGACTGCTGACAAACTTTACACGAGTCTTACAGTCAATGCCATCATGGCTAAACTGACCAATCACTTCCAACAGACCAGACTTGTAACACAATTGACTGACAAACACTATTCACTGGACTCTTATGATGACTTCTGGTAAGGTTCTAAAAGCGTCAGTCACCAACAACAGTTCTTTTCAGAACTTTCCTTGGGAAGTTAGTATATATTAGTAAGACCCTTATTTCAATTCAAAACTTTTTTGGTAAGTTAGTATATTAGCACAACCCTTGCTTCCATTCAAAACTTTCCTTGGCAACTATCCTTAGTACGTTAATATGGCCCTTGTTTTTATTCAAACCTTCCTTGGTACATTCATTTAGAAAGATCCTGTTTTTATTCAAAACTTTCCTTGGTAAGTTAGAATGCTAGTGTGACCCTTGTTTCCATCTAAAACTTTTTATTGCATTCATAACTGGAAACAACAGAAATAACCTTTAAGTTTTGTTGAGATTTATCTGTAAAATTAATGCGACAACTACTTAGAATGGTACTAAAGAAAAAATTTAAATAAATGATTCCTGTTATACTGTATGTGCTTAGTATGGAGCCATAGATCCATAGAGCTGTAGACTTTATTATGACAAAATGTGTGATCCTAGAGCCATAGAACCATAGAATTCATTATCTAGAAATTTAAAAGTTGAACGAGACTTACCTGTAAGTTGAAGTTTGATTGGAATTCTATCCGTGACCAAGCACTGAGGGATTACATGAGAAAGTATTGCACCTGCACGAACTCAGTTTTTTAAGCACTAACCATATGTGCAGTGGTTTACCATAGGCTATCTCTGGGAGGAATATGAGAAATTTTGATTTTTTTATCATGTGCCGCAACTGGCTCTACGTTAGTGGGCATTCCCTCTTAAGCACTTTAATTTGTTTTTACCCTCATTAGAGGGAGGATAGTAGGTGTCAAGCAACTGTCCGACAGATGCATCCAGATTTATACACTTCTGGTTTTTGCCATTAGCCTCTTCCCGAGGGGCTTACCCATGTATTAAGGATATCTTCCTCTTGAATTTCCTCATCATGCGGTGTAGGAAATCTCTAGGTTGTCATTAACCGACTTAAAAGCCTCGGAAATAGCCTTAGCCATATTTCGGGTCAGTGTTGCAAATCCTTCTTGCATGGCAGCTGAGGATATCTTCCTCTTGAATTTTCGCCTCATAGGAAATCTCTATAGGTCAGCTTTAACCAACTTAAAAGTCTTGGAAATGGCATGAGCCATCTTTCCGGACAGTGTTGCAAATCCTTCTTGCATGGCAGCTAAGAGAGCTGTGGGAGGTCCTTCACCATGAGAAGGAGAAGCGCCAACCTTTGCACCATTTTCAACAACATTGGACTTCAATGTCCTCGGGCACTTTTACCTTAAGAGCTATTGCTGCTTTCCTTTTTCTCTCCAGATGTTTCCTTCCTCTGACTGGTATCCGTGTCATTGTCTGGCATTCTAATGCGAATTTCTGCATGAATTATTGCTGAAAATGTTCATAAGACATAAAATGACTACTGTTCGCTCAGAAAGGCGGCAACACACTGAGTTCGCGCAGGCGCAATGCTATCTCATGTGAGACCTCAATGTGGTGACAGAATAGAATTTGTGATTGTACAGCCACAGACTGGTAGAGTTCATTATGTAGAAATGTTTGATCATAGCACTGTAGAGTCATAGAGTCATAGAGTCCATTATCTAGATGTGTGAACATAGAGCCGTAGAGTTCATTACGTAGAAATGATTGTTAATGAACAAGTTCAGGCATAGGGTTAAATAAACACTACTACAACAGACCAAAACTGTTGGTAACCATGGTAACATGCCACTGTTTTATATGTACATGAAAGAGAAGAAGTACAAAGTGATCAGTGGCTGATTCTTGAGCACATGCCTGGTTTCTGTTCATTTGTGATTTACTTCCAAGTAAAGGCCTATTGGTTAAGTGATATTTTTGCTTCATGGGAAAATTCTCAGCAATGAGTCAATGTAATTCACTGACTGCAATGACACTTACTAGTACTTCTATGTCCATCACTGACTATCTGCCTATAGACAATGAACATGTGATTCAGAAGGTGCAACAGTATCAATGCATGTCATAATGAGAATGAACTATCATCCACAATACTCACTAAAAGAGTCTCAATTAAGTTTGTTCTCTTATCTACATGTACGAGCTTTTACCTTTGGGTGATTTTTTTCTTCATCCAGTGAGCGACTATAACTAAGAACCAAATACTTCAGCTGCCTTGTTTCAAAGATGATGGGTGTCTCTGGGCAAGGTATGCCAACACTGGAACATTCTAAAGCTAAAGAATCAGCTTTTCGCTCTGTCAGAGAACTGCTACATTCAGATGACCTGCAGTCTGATGAGGCATCGTCAATAGCCATCTGAGAGGTTTCCTCAGCAATGGTAAGAGTTGGACTGACACTCACTCCATCTTGATGAACATGTGAATGGTTTAGTCTCTCCATGATGACTTGACTTACAAGGTTGCAAATGGCTCCTAAAGCAATTAATGCAAGTAGAAAGTTATAAATTTTACGAAGGGTCGAGGTTTAAATGAACATTATTTCATAACACAAGTCTGATTGCTATTATACACTTTGTAACAAAGTGTAAAATGAAATGAGTCAGAGTACAACCAAAAGCTCTTTGTAGCAATTACTGTTGGTAACACTCAGAGATAAGAAACCATAAAATGCATTTAAAACTTAGAGAACACAAGCTCGTGTCTCAAACTCCATGCATTTTAACATCCTCCCCCATGAATTAGTGACCTCACCAGCGTGACAATTGCACAGTTACAATTTGCTAGTACAAATTTACCTCTTTCTCCACTGACACCCATCTGGTATACGTGTGTGTAAGTGGTACTTGTCACGGTGACAAGGTCGCTAATTTTAATTTCCAGCTGAGCTGTATCGAAAAGCCCTTCACAAGGATCGGCCATGGACAGCCATCATGTCAACTAGTGCCTGTTTTATGAACCTCACATTATTGTGGAAGTTTTTGTAGAGTGCTACACCTCTACGCATTTATCACCGGTCATTTTATACTTCTTTTGCATGTGCATATAAAACGGTGGCTTGTTATCATGGTTACCAACAGTTTTTGGTCTGTTGTAGAAGTTTTTAATTCAACCCTACACCTGAACTCATTTGTTAACAATCATTTGTACATAATAAACTCTATGCTCTACAGCTCTACGATCACACATATCTAGATAATGAACTGTACAACTCTACAATCACACTTTTCTGTAGATAATAGATAATGAACTCTATGGCTCTACAGCTCTATGGTTCTACAGCTCAACGACTCTATGGATCCCTTCCAAGCACAGAATAGGAATTGTTTATTTCAATTTTCTCTTTAGCACTTCTTCAAACTAAATCTACACAAAACGTAACTGTTATTTTCACTGTTTCCAGTAAATAAATAAGTTATGAATGCATAGAAACAAGGGTCTTACTAGAATTCTAACATACCGAGGAACGTTTTGAATAAAACCGAGGGCCTTTCTAACATGCTAAGGAAAGGTTTGAATAAAAACAAGCATTGTACTAACATACTACCTTACTGTGGAAAATTTTGAATAGAAACAAGGGTGCTACTAATGTTCTAACTTACCGAGGAAATTTTTGAATAAAAACAAGGGTCTTGAATTGAAATATGGGTCGTACTATGGTACTAACTTACCGCGGAAAGTTTTGACTTGAAATAAGGGTCATACTAACATTCTAACTTACCAAGGAAAGTTTTGAATAAAAACAAGTGTCTTACTAACATTCTACAGCTGTAACTTACTGAGGAAAGTTTTGAATAAAAAGAAGGGTCTTGAATTGAAATCAGGGTCGTACTGGGGTACTAACTTACTGAGGAAAGTTTTGAATTGAAATAAGGGTCATACTAATGTACTAAGGAAAGCTTTGAACAGAAAGAAGGGCCAAAGTAACATATTAATTAATGCACTAACACACAAAGGGAAGTAAATGTGGTGAAACAAGCAGTCATGCTAACAGACTTACTCAAGGAAAGCAGTATTGAATTCCCTCTGAATAACGTTCTCCGGAAAGTGTGAATAGTGGTACACACCATTTTTGAGTAGCTTGATATGGTGGTGGGAATTAACTTTTTTGGGGGGGGGGGGGGGGGGGGNGGGACTGATGCTGGGTAAAGTTGATGGCGACACAATGATTGTAATGGATGCATTCGCTTTACCAGTGGAGGGAACTGAAACAAGAGTGAATGCACAAGTTGCAGCTTATGAATACATGGCCAATCGTAGACTTTCTGTCCAGAATCCAGCCAGGTGTGCATTTTATGTGGGCTCTCAGACAGACTTTTTTGTTATCACTAAGTTCTTTATGATTCCAAGTCGTGTTTTCTTTTTGGGTTGTGGATATGGGAAATTACATACTGGCATACAGTATACTAAAAATATTTGGTGTGTAGCGAAGCATGTTAAAGATTTTGGTAAAAAGAAATAAAAAGTTGACACTGGCTAAAAATACAGTATACTATATAGATCAAGATCAAACTATATATTTAAGAGTGTTATATTGTCTTAAGTGTGATCAATAGCAGTAATTAATCTGTCAAAAGTAGTCTCTGATAACTTTGCTTTCTACATTTTCTTTCCGTTTGAACGTAAAAAGTTCTTAAAAACGGTTTGAGAAAGCGAAGACAGGTGTTTCGCTGGATGCATCAGTAAAAATCAGATATAACTTTTTTGCAAGAAACTTATTCCTCACTCGATACTATCGGAAGATGGAAGATGGAATGGGGAGGCAAAATCATATCTAGCCATGGGTCATCTCATAGCAGAGGAGTTATGATTCTTTTAAACCACGGCTTGACGTGAACATTGAAAAAATTACCTCAGTTGATCATGGGAGATATGTTTTAGCAGAGAATTTTATTGATAATACAAAAGTTGTACTGGTTGATGTTTATGCACCAAACGATCCAAACCAACAGCTTGTATTCCTGAGGGGGCTTTCAAATACTCTCTTCGGCAAATATGGTAATGAAAATCTTGAGTTAGGGGACAATTTTAATTGCATAATCGGCACTTTAGACAAATGAGGTGGCAAACCTGTTGAGATTAGAAAAGCATCGATTATTGAACTCAAGGCTTTGATTAAAATGCATAATCTGCTCAATACCTGGTACTACAAAAACTCTGAATCATTTGGCCCTGCCTGGGCAAACCCCTCAATAAAAATACAATGTGGACTAGATCACCTCTTTGTTTCAAATCAGCCAAGTAATCGAATTTGCTAGAACAAAATAATTCCAAATATTTATTCTGACCACTATGCAGTCATCCTCTCTTTATCTTTCTTTGAACATGAACCCCCTCGTGGGCCTGGCTTCTGGAAATTTAACAACTCATTGCTGTCAGACACAAAACATGTAGAAATATTGAACTTCTTAATTCCAGAGTTTGCCAAAAAGCATCAGCGAACTGAGGACAGGGGTTTGTTCTGGAAAATGATTAAAATGGAAATCAGAGCATTTACGATGAAATTTTTGAAAATGAAAGCAAAAAGCAAGCGTGACAAAGAGTCTGCCCTTTTGTTGGAGATGATCAAACTGTAGTGCAAGCCCCAGACAGTGCACAGCGATTCCTTAAGGAGTGTATTGGTAGGAAAAAAACCAAGCTTTCAAAAAGATGCATGGCATGATTATACATAACAAAGCACGCTGGTATGAACATGGCAAGAAAGACAGTAAGTATTTCTACAATTTAGAAAAAACAAACCAAAGGAAAAAACATACAGCTTCCTTAAAAATCAATAATCATGCAAAATTAACTGACCCAAAAGAGATTCTTGAAGAGGAAGAACGCTTTTTTAAACACTCAGATATATACATAAAAAAACACAAATCCAAATGGCTCGGGGCTTACCGAATTCTTTCATACCGAAAATGGATTATCAAAAGAAACTGCTAAACCTTGCAAAGGTATTATGTCTATCGATGAATGTAAAAGAGCGCTTATGAAGATGGAAAGCAATAAAACACCAGGTACAGATGGCCTCACTTTGGAGTGCTATCGCTATTTTTGGAACGCTGTCAGCAAATTCATGGTGGAAAGTTTAAATAATACATTTCAACACAGATCACTTTCTATCTCTCAATGGCAAGGTATTATTTCTTTCGTCCCAAAAAAGAATAATAATGCAGAATATTTAACAAATTGGAGACCAGTATCACTACTTAACGTTGACTTCAAAATTGCAACCAAAACTATTGCTCTTCGCTTTCTTGCCAAGCATAATGCATCCTTGTGAGACTGGCTACATAAAGGGTAGACTCATTGGAGAAAGTATCAGACTAATAGCAGACACAATGGACTTCACTAAAATAAAAAAAAAATATACCAGGTATAGCTGTTTTCTTAGATTTTGAAAAAGCTTTTGATTCAATTGAATGGGACTTCATCCAAAAATGGCTTGAATCTTTCAACTTTGGACCAAGTCTCCAGCAATGGTGCAGCGTGTTCTATAAAGACATCTCCAGTTGCGTCATTAACAATTATGGCGTTGCCTCTCCTTTCAGGCATACTCTTTGTTATTGCTATGGAGCTTCTTGCCCAAAGTATAAGATGGTCAGAAGACATCACAAGCATACGTATCCAAGGAAATGAAGAGGTCAAGCTCACGCAATATGCTGATGACACAACTGCCCTTCTTGCTGATGTCCAGTCAGTTTCTAATTTATTTGACTTACTCTCACTGTTTGAAAAGAGCTCTGGCCTAAAAATAAATCAGGCAACATCAGAAATGCTTTGTCTTGGCTCCATGCACCATAGGAAAAACACAATTTGCAACCTCCAAATTAGTAATGATCCTCTTTACGCACTCGGGTGCATTTAACTTACAATATTGAATTGTCTGATAAGAAAAATTTATTTGAAAAATTAGCATCCCTAAAGAAAACCTTAAGTGTCTGGTCCCAAAGAGACTTAGCTAAATACGGTAGAATAAAGTTAAAACATTAGCCCTCTCCAAACTTGTATTCATCTGCAGCATTATGGAGACTCCAAAAAACTTTGCAACAGAGGTCAACAAAACAGTGTTTGATTTTATCTGGAAGCAAAAACCCACCAAAATAAAAAAACAACCCACATCAAGAAGAAAATCAGATGGTGGTCTTGGCATGAAAGATTTTGTCCTTTTCGATAAGACTTTGAAACTAACTTGGGTAAAACAGCTGTGCTCCAACTCAGAGGCACTGTGGAAGTATATCCCAAAATCGTCTCTCTCTGCTGTTGGCAGAACTGAGCTCTTTCAATGTAGTTATGACTACTTAACAAATCACTTCTGGTTTAGCATGGTCTGTACTCTTACATGTATCGACAACAATACACATCATCACAGCGGTCAAAATGTTGTGGACTCAGATGCGCAGCCTAAATGTTTTTACCTATTTTAGCATGTTACATTACATTGCAAATTTCAAAGGGGCTGAATTGCAATTTTCTCGAATTTTGATTGGCGTTCATGCAAAATTGCTAGTAGATCCCACAAAAATGAAACTGTAAACCTAACATTCATTGACTGAACTGTCTTTTGCTAGAATATCAGATGATTTGAAGCACTACCGGTCAGCTTTTTTCCTCACTGAATTTGCAAAACTTTTGAGTTTTGTTTTAATTAGAAAAGTATGTCTACTTAATCAAGGCAGGTTTTGCTCAGAAAACACAAAAAATGAAAATAATCACTATGTCTTGATTAAGGAAGAATCAATGTATACATTTAAAGTTGAGAATGTTTTGCACTGATGTAAACGTCTGTGTAGCAAGAAGCCAAAAAGTGTAAAATTTCAGATTGTCGTGAAGTGAAATCTGAGCTCTCGGTACAATGACTGTTTTTCGTGAATTTCAGCCGCTATATTGGATATTTAAAAAAACTAACTTGATTTTCTTCATGTACATACCTAGGCCTTCAAATTGGCAAAGTATAAGCAAAATCAATTTTTCGACCGTGGCCACATTTTTAGAGTTTTCTTTGACTTTTACTGAGATCCACTCTTAAAAGTATACCTTATTGAGTTATTTTTTTGCAAAAAAAAATACCTCTTAGTTGGCGGGTTGGGTATGTTATGGACAGGTCAATGGATGAGTGAGTGAGTGAGTGAGTGAGTATAGTACAGTATAGTATAGTATATCTTTATTGCGCCTTACTCTCCAAAGGGAGGTATTGGTCTGTTTNTTTGACACCATACTTTGTAAGTTGTGTGGATGGTTGAGGATGGATAGAAAGGTTAGGGTCGACATCACGCTCCGGCACTGACCAAGAAAGATGAAAAGTCGGTCTAATGCCAGTTCATCTCCTGACCATATGAAAGGCCACTTGTTAATCTTCTTAATGTACGCATTCGATATCTCGTAACGATTCCCGTACTTCTCCTTTAGGAGTTTCTTAGCTTCTATGTAGCCACTGTTTCTATCCAGGTGAAGACATCCTTTGATGAGCTCCTTCAGTTCTCCTTGTAAGTATTGCTCCAGGTATTGCAAACAAACATCGTTAGCGCTGACTTTAGCTTCCACTTGCGATTCAAAGCTTCTAGTAAATGTGGAATATTCCAAAGGATCGCCAGTAAATTTAGTCAGCGTGAGTGACGGAAGTAAACTCTGTTGTTGTTGTTCCGCCAACAGTTCAGTTAATCTGTTTTGTTTCTGAAGAACATCACAAAACTGTGTATTTGGCTGTGTGTCGGCGACATGAAACTCAGGTGCGAGAGGGTTTAACTTCGTAGGATGTCACATCGGCTTAGGAGGTGTTTGTGTTACAGGAGCGTCATCATGGAAACCCGCAGTAAAGTTCACATTCGTTACAGTGTTTGACGTTGCACTTGGAACGGTGTAAGTACTGGAAACAGGCGGACAAGATGGCCCAGAGAGAGAAAATCCTGGTACACGAGAGGCTTCTGAGGGCACTTCCAGCTGGTGACTTAAATCTTCCTTGACACCATTCTCGATTTCTGTGAACACACGTTCACGAACTTGAGCAACTGCTAATTGTTCTTCTAAACGTAACCTCTTGGCCTTTCTCTCCAGCTCTTGCCGTTGTTCCAACATGGCCACTTTTGCAATTAATTCAG